TGCTCTGCCCCAGGCTTCCTGGAATCAGCCGCTGATCAGTTTCAGCAGCAGCTGACTTGGGGACGCCTGGGTTTCTTAAGTTGAATCTGTATGCAAGTCAGAACTGGCATCCAGATTCAGCCGTGGTTGAAACTGATCAGTTTCAGCAGCGGCTGACGCCAGTTCCGACTTACATACAGATTCAACTTAAGAACAAACCTACAGTCCCTATCTTGTACGTAACCCGGGGACTGCCTGTATATGTAAGGCCCTACCAAATTCCTAGCCATGAAAAATACATCACAGTCTGTGGTATCTGGTCTTGTGTGCTTTTAACCTATACAATATGTATTTCACAGACAAACGTTTCTCAAATTGGGGGTGCTGACCCAAAAGGGAATCACAAGAGGTCAAAAGATTATGGGGGGGGGGAAAGAGGGGAGGGTATCACAGTAGGGATGTAAGCAACTAGTCACTTCTCACCCTCACTGCCTCTGTATCAGCAAGGGGGCAGGGGAGGGAGCAGGAGCCAGTGCCCGTGAGGAGCTGGCTTTAAGCAGGCTCCCCATGAGCACCGGATCCGCTTGCCAGTCCCCAACTCTGCTGCCTCCAATAGAGACAAAGCAGCGTGGAGGGTGAGGGGAGGGCAGGCTAGAGCCAATTCAAGCAGGCTCCCCGCATGTATGGCCTACTACAGACTGCCTCCCCCACTCTCCACTGCCTCTTACAGAGGGGGGAAGGCGGGTGCTAGAGAGAGTAGGCTTAAAAGCCGGTTCCCCCCAGCACCAGGTCTATGGTACTGCCTGCCCCCCTCCTCTCTGAGCTGCTGCCTCTAACAGCGGCTGCTGCTGTGGACCAGCCTCTGTCTGCAGGGAGCTTGGACCCCCGCGAACAGGGACTGTTACCACCCCACGCTGCCGCCTCTGAATCTGAGGCAGCAGTGTGGGGCGGCAGGCAGCCAGTCTGTGCGGGGAGCTGGTTTTTAAACTGGCTCCCTGACAGACGGGCTCTCAGCTGCCACTGCACTGCTGCCTTAGAGGCAGCAGTATGGGTGGCAGGGGGCTCCCCAGGAGCACACTTGCTGCAAGTCCCACCCCCCGGAAACTATCAAAAAGTTGTGTAACTGCTAAGATTTCATGTGGTTACACAACTATTCAACTACACGATATCTAGCATCCCTAGAATGGGTATTTTTTTTCCTAATATGAAACCATCAAATATTCGGTTAAAACCCCAAAAGCCATCACAAAGGCTAAATCAGAAACTTTCTTTCTTTCATCATCTCTTAATCCTATGGACAGAACTAATTTTAACTATCTGGATTGCCAGTTAATTAGGGTCAGGCAGTATGCACTTCTTACACGTCGTCTGTTTTATCAAATATGTGTACTTTATTCTTGTCAACATGAACTCAATGCACAGTGAAACCCACAGCTTTTTTTGTGAAACTACTACCCTGATCATAGTTACTTCATAGGACCTCAGTACTATCCAGCATAATCAATATCAATACACAGGGCTCGAAGATCACGGCAAAAGCTACTCGCCAGCCCCACACTGCGCATGTGCGAACCGCTGGTGAACGGGGTGAACGGCTGAAATCTACTCGCCACGGGCGAGTAGATAAGCAGATCTGTTGAGCCCTGACAATACACAATACAAAAATAGTCATATTGCTAAACTAAGCCCATTGCTAAAGTCAATGCAACATTAAAATGACCATCCTTCTTTACGTAGTGATGGGTTCATTCTGTGAAGCATTCAGTCCACCAGGACAAATCCAAAGTGCTTAGCACCCAGTGCAATAGGGCTGTATGAAAACAAAGTTGTACCTCTGATTCAGATATATCACAAATGCTAGCTTCCTTAGTTTTATCCACTTGCTGAACAAGGAGGTCACAGTACAATCTAAGCTCTGACATTTTGGTTTTCAAGGCTTCAGTGCTTTCAGTGAACTCTAGAAATGAAACAAGAGGAGAGTTGGACACATCCCATCAGTTTCACAGTAGACATTTTTGGAAAGTTAAGGAAATAACTAGTACTATTTCAACCCAGTCCAACGTAGCTGACTGAATAGAGATTGTGTTGAAATGTCATTCAAAAAAAATGTAAGACTTAGAACTGGGTTGGCCATTTGTTCATGACAACTGAAAGACATGCACTGTTTGTTATTTGCCAACAGAACGTACCCAGATAAATTATAAACACACAAACCTACTATAAAAAAAACCAAAGTCTTGACCACAAGACGTCTCACTTCATGAGCCTTTTTATTCAAGGACTAAATCCCTATCATACTATAACATGCCTGTTTGCTTAAAAAAATCTGAGGTATAAACAATAGTTGTTAAAGGGTCATAGCTCCTTGTTTATAAACTACAGAAAGGTGGAAGATAGAGTTTGACAAAGACAGATCATTTTAATACCACTCTCTCTCCTTATTTATAATTAAAGGACTGGAATACCTGAAAGCTAATTTTAACCCCACCCCCCTTATAGATTAACAACAACCCAGAAATTTAAAAAGGTAAAATTTTCTTAGCTGAAAGTTTTGCAAATGCACGATGAGCATTTCACCTTGTGACAATGTCAACTTATGAGTTTCATTTTGTTTTGCATCTTTTTCCTGATTAAATTGTATAGACAATCAGTTTTATCTACAACTGGGGTTCAATATTAAAAATATTGGAGACCAAATTACCATCTGTAGACAAAATAGTCTAGTACAAGAAGGAGAATGCATCACCAGTCCTTCTGAGAAGCTGGTTCTCGAAACATGTTCATTTTACCATATGCAGGTATGTTCCCAAAATATGTACCCAAACCTACCTCTATTTATACTAAACCTGTTTACAAAGAAAAAGCACTGTATACATCACCCAAGACTATTATGAAAATATTGGGCCTCAGTTATCTTGTTTTTGGTAGGATGGTGTTCCCTCTTTATTCCTGGTTTTTCAATACAACATTCTGAACTTAAATGGGCCATGAATGCACCCCTTACCTGTACCAGGGTAGAACACTTGCATCTCTTTCCTTTGACAGTTTTCCCATCTCAAATGCTGAGCTGTGCTGTTACAAGGCATTGTGGGATACTTACAAGTGAGCAAATGTAAGTAGAATGCAATTTAGCATGATTACCTAACACTTATATATCATAATATATGCAGAATACTATTAATGCATGGCTGTGTGACCTATAGGCACTGGCTAACAGTTCACCATTGTAAACTTGCATTGTGGAATAGACTCTGCATTTTGTGTCTGACTCTGTGTCTTGTGTGGTGAGCCAATCTGAACAGGTGTATCCACAGCCTGATGAAATGCACAGCAAGATCAGAGATGAAGGGAAAGTTTCATCTTATGAAGAGTTAACACAGGAAGAGTCATCAGGATGGCTGCCAACAATTATTGACTTACTGATGACTCATCTGCTTTCCCACGCTCTATTCAACAAGGGTGTTGGACAGAAGGGACTCAGCAAGACCGCACTTATTATCAGGAAGATTTCTGTGCAGAAGTGACTTACCGCAGGGAGACAAGGGTGTCTCTACTAGCCAGAACAGGGACAGATCTCAGACCCAAAATACTTTGGTGAGGACATGTGAGGGAATTGTTTTCCCCTAGATATGACAGACAGAGAGAGAGGGAGAGAGAAAGTCTAGGTGTTCCCTATTTAATCATAACAGGGTCCTTGAAAGGTGTAGTAGCTAAAAGGATGAATTAGTTTTTCATAATTTAAAATACAGTAATTCCTCATGTAACACGGTGGATACGTTTCAGAAAATGATGGTGTTAAGTGAAAACGTGTTATGCGGGGGTCAATTTTCCCATTGAAAATAATGGAAAAGGTGGGAGTTGCATTTCAAGCGGTAGGGAATGGGGAAACCCAGTTGCCTGCCTGCAAGCTGGGACGGAGGAGAGGGAGCAAGGCATCCAGCAAGAGGGGGTCTCCGAGGAACGGCACGGTGAGCAGCGAACCCTCCGCCACTTTGAAGGGAGGTGGGGGCAGCCACTGGAGACTAGCTGGCTGGGAAAACCCAGCCACCGGCCTGCGAACAGGGGCGGAGGAGAGGGAGCTAGGCATCCAGCGAGAGGGGGTCGCCAGGGAACGGCGCAGCAAACCCTCTGCCGCTTTGCAGGGAGGTGAGGGAAGCCCCACGCAGCCGCCAGCGACCAGCCGGCTGGGGAAAACGTGTTATTACGGGGACGGTCGTGTTGTTCAAAAAAAAAATGTTCCCCTCCCAAAAATTGTGCTATCACGAAAACATGTTAAGCAAGTAATTTTTGTAAACCAAGATCAAAATTTTTAAATCACGTGGTTCAAGTCAAGGTCCTTCATCTCTGATTAGGCCTGATTTTCAGAGGTACTGACTGCCTGCTATCCAGATTTGGACACTGTGGCTCAAGTATACATTTATCATTTCTAGTTGCAAAACTCCTAGGAAAAAAAATGGGGAGATAAAGAACCAAGTAAACGACACATTGTTCAGAAAGGCTAGAAATGCTAGAGATACACAACTGAGAATGTTCTTGCCTTTTTCTCTCTGTGTCCTACTGTCTGTCAGGCAGGCCTTGGCAGTTCCTAGTGCAACCAGCCACTTTTGCCTCTCAGCTGCATTTCTGGCTTTCAGATAGAAGTACTGTTCTCCTGGAATAATCAGATCCATCCGAGTATTATCTGTAGGGTGAACTAGGAACAACACAGATTAAGTCACTGAGTCAAACACCTACATTATGATGCATTTTCTCACACACACACACACACACACACACACACACACACACTTTGCAACAATAAAAATACAGCAATTCCTGGAAATGCATATGGAAAACTGTTGGCTATCAACAGTCAAATTTCCAAACTTGCCATTTTGTGACTCAGGCTCTCGAGTTATCAGTCTTCGGGAGAAAGAATGTTTCATGCCATGAAACTGAAATCCCTTCCACTTTAATAATAAAAGAATGAAGAACATAAAAACAGAAGAACATCCATACTGGGTCAGACCAACAGTCCATCCAGCCCAGCATCCTGTCTGCCGACAGTGGCCAATAACAGATGCCCCAGAGGGAGGGAACACAACAGGTAATCCTCATGTGATCCCTCCCCTGTCACCCACCTTCAGAGAAACAGAGGCTAGAGACACTATTCCTGCCCATCTTGGCTACTAGCCATTGATGGACCTAACCTCCATGAATCTAGCTCTTTTTTGAACCCTGTTAAAGTCCTAGCCTTCTCTGCATCTTCTGACAAGGAGTTCCACAGGCTGACTGTGCGCTGAGTGAAGAAAAACATCCTTTTGTTTGTTTTAAACCTGCTGCCTCTTAATTTCATTTGGTGACCCCTAGTTCTTATATTGTGAGAAATAAATAACTTTTCCTTATTCACTTTTCCCACACCAGTCATGATTTTATAGACCTCTATCATATCTCCCCCCGCCCCCCAAGCCTTAGTCTCTTTTCTAACCTGAAAAGTCCCCAAAAGAAGAGCAACTCAGTCATGTGTAGCTGGACCCATGATGATTACAATACAATGAGAGAGAAGTGCAAAACAAAGCAAGGGAGAAAGGAAAAAAAAATTTAAGGGAGAACATGATTTATAAAAGTGTGGGACTGTCAGTAAAAAGGAAAACTCTCTCTGCTGTGAAAAACAGTTTCATGGATTACACACTACTGTCTGGGACTCCTTTTCTGAGAAGGCAACCTCCTCCAACAACTCTGTCCATATTTCAGTTTTCCTACCTATACGTCTCTCTCAAAATTACTGTCGCTACTCTGTTCAATTCTTAATCCATTAGGAGTGAAGTGACGAAGTTTGTTTATGATTTATACTATTAAAGTGGAAGTTCTTGCTTTAGTTCTGTACCAGCAAAGAGTTAGGTAGACCCATGTGCCCTTACGCCATGGCTCGTAAAAAGCCCCAATATTTAAAAAAGCATTATGCCTACATGCAGCATGCCCAAGACACCAGATGTTTATAGTTCTTAGAATGCTTAATTCTTTATTTAGTTAAAGTTGAATAGAGATTATATTCATGATATGCTATGGGCATGTAAAGAGAAGAAGTCTTTGATACAAGGATGACATGTCAGATCACAGGAATTATATTTAAGAAACATAAGGGAGTAAGATATTTATTGGAAGAATTTTGTGCAGCAGATTCTGAAGTTCCTTCGTTACCTTGAATTTCGCACACGGCCATTTGGATGCTTCCTTTACAACCCTTCCAGGCATCTTCCTGAGAGTCGTAATATGACAAGATACCTCCACAGAGAAGAAACCATCGAGGCTGCCAGCCTGAAAAGCAAAACTGCATTTCTCAGTGATTTAATGTTTTACAGAACACACATTTCTTCAGTTCAACAACTATGTAGGTTTCGTGTGGGAATTTACACAAGTGAAGCGCAAAACAAGAGATACTCAAGATGGTTAAAGCTTAATCCTTATTTCCGTAGAGATTTTTACTGAGCTTTAGAACAGCATCCTTCAGCAACAATTACAGGTGTTTCCTACAGCCCAGCTGGATTTGAGAGATGCAGGTAAAGGTCAGATGAAAACAGTTAATGGCAGAAATTAATCATTCCTTGCTAAGTATTAAGCTACTTGAAAGCTTATGTCCTAATAAATATGTTAGCCTCTAAGGTGCCAGAGGACGCCTCGTTGTTTTTGCAGATACAGACTAACACTGCTCCCCCCAAGACCTTTCCTCAGTCAAGAATACTGAAAATAGCTCACACTCCCGTTGTTTATGCAACACCCTGATGCTCAAGAGAAAGCGCCTGTCAAAAATCGATTTGGGCTGTAATCATAGCCAAACACAAATCTGCATACCAGTAAGTTTACAATGAACCCTGAATCCTAAAACTACAGGCAAAAACACAGAGGCATAGGTCCATTCCTTACAGGCTGAGATAGAAGGGGGAAATATTTAAGCTGATTTTTTTTAAATGTAAGTTTCCACAGTATTCTAGCTAATGAGTATAACAATCACATAGGAATTGAGATACTTTTTAGAACTCTTGCCATTTTATTTTATTTGAAAAAAAAAAACCACACACTTTTTCATAACAGGTTCCTTTGGGGAGAAGAACAGACCAGATTCAATTTGGATTTTCAAGTAAAAGTGGGGGTAGTCAGAGTGCTACGAGAAAAAAAAATTGTAAAAGTCATTGTAGGCAGTTTTCAGTAAGGTGGAATTTATTCAACACAGAAGAGAAGAGAAGCCAGTTAATTGCTTCAGACCCCTAAAGGCATAGAAACAGTTACTTAAATAATACATAACTCCTCAGTCAATACAAGCCTTTAATTCACTCTGGAGCTCCTACTTCAACATGGCTGCTATGGCTTATGGTACTGCAGAGCCCAACTGAATTACAGCCTCTCAATCATGTCAATGAGGATCTGCAAGGAGTACCTTTTTAAATAAATATTATTTGTATTTAAATGTATTTCAATAGACTGCTTCCTCCTTGCCCCCAAAAAAGTCTTTTGCTAAATTAACATCTTATTTCCCCTTCTACTAGATGAGCAAACATAGAATGATTCACAATTTCTTACTATGTAGAATAAGCACGCATACAAAATGCATTTTCAGAATTAAATCAGTATTGATGTACAAGAAATCAAATTTTTCAAAGCAGAGAGCAATTTTCCAGTGGCAGACTTTTAAATATTTAAGATCCCAGTTTTTTAAAATGTCAGATAGCAAGGATTTTGCTAGAAGACATATTAGCCACATGGGACCCTATGATTCTGAGCGAGGCAATCATCAGAAGGTTATCCTGAGGACCATCAAATTGTAAGAGGGCTGACAAATTGCTGATACTGCAACCGTATCTTTCATTACAGGAGCTTTACAGTTTGTTATGGTCACAAAACGAACCCTATAAAAATGTGTCTCTTAGGCTATGTCTACACAGTAGCATTATTTCACAATAACTGACATTATTCCAAAATAAGTCTGCATCTACACTACAAGCAGTTATTTTACCATAATGTCAAAATAACATCTGGAGGACTTCTTACTCTGACTACTGTAACCTTAATTGTACAAAGTCAGAGAAGAGTGCTCTCTCAGACGTCCTGCTGTGCAGACAGCACCAAAAGCCAAAATACACTATTTTGACTTAAGCTATGCAAATGACATAGCTCAGGTTGTGTAGCTTATTTTGGCTTTAGCCCTGCTGTGTAGATGTGCCCTTAATATGGAGCATTAATCTAGATTCCTAGAACTCCGATTTCCATATCAAGTTTGCAAGATGATTTTCCAACTCCCAGAGTACTAGAAGCTCTACCTAGTATTTGAAAAGTCAAAGCTGTGTCCCTGCACTGTGTTAAAATTGACAATAAGGATTCCAGAATAAGAATTTAGTTGTGCACTTCCACTGATGATGCACTAGGCCTGCCAGAACACAGGTTGCTCTTCTAAAGCCTGAATTAGCTCTGCAGAGCTATTAGCAGTAAAAGTTTGATGCTTTCGGTAACATAAGCAGATAAAACTAAAGAGACACTAAAAGCACATGTCTATCAAAGGCCCTATACAACATGGGGTCTCTAAAATCAACAAGATTAAATTAAGGGAACATTTACAAACCAGGAAAAGGTACAACAGTAAACACTGAACTGGTGCATAGCTTTCCCAAGGGAAATGGTGGGAGTTACCTCACATGTAACTGTTAAGAGATTAGGTACAGTAATAGAAAATATATTGCAAAGAACAATTCTGCATTTGCATAGGTGTGGGCCAGTAAATGTAATCTATACTTATCTATAATTTAAAAGACATTTTTAATCTTCATGGCATGAAGATTCTGGAGAGCCAATCAGTCTTTCTGATGTTCAAGGGCTGAACTAAAATGAATTTGAATAGAAAAAACACTGGGCAGTACCAAGGTATTACTTACATAACTAAAGGAGGGAGCTCCCTCTCTCCAGACTGTACTTCCCTATAGGGATGTCCACATGCAGTCGACTATACAAATAACTAATAAGCCTGGGCTTATCAGTTAATCTGTATCAGAGGCAACAAGGCAGTTGGAAGTGGGAGCTGGTGCCCGTGAGGAGCTGGCTTTAAGCAAGCTTCCCACGAGCACCAGATCCACCTGCCCCACCATCCCCACTCTACTACCCCGATAGAAAGGAAGCAGCACCTTGATAGAAAGTGTCAAGGCGGGAGCCAATACACGTGAGGAGCCAGCTTTCAAGCAAGCTCTCCGTGTGTGTCCCAGCACCAGCTCTGTGGGGCCAGCTCCACCCCAACCCGCCCAGCACTGCTGCCTCTATCAAGAGTACACGATTCATCATTTACTTGTTACTTAACATCCTTAGTAGGGGGAGGGGGAGGCAAAGGCAGAGGAAGCTACCAAAAGCAACCTCTGTCCGCTGCAGCAGCCCATCCATGGGAGGTTCGGCTCCCGTGGTGGACCACGTCTGCCACCTGATACAGAGGCAGCAGTGCAGGTTGGCATGGGGCTCCCCAGGAGTGGGGCCGGGAGCACACTGGCTGCAGCTCTGCCCCATGGCACTATCTAATAGGTCAGTGGCACGCAACCCATGGGTCGCATGGTTGTCTTCCTGGGGGTTGTAATAGCAGTGGGCACACTCTTTGTGGCCAGAGACAAGTTCCTTCTTTCTGCCTTTATTATTTAATACCACCTGCCCTTTGTAGATATATATTCAGGGTACATCTAGACTACATGCCTCTGGTGAAAGAGGCATGTAGATTAGGCTACCCGACATAGTAAAATGAAGCGGCGATTTAAATAATCGCCGCTTCATTTAAATTTACATGGCTGCCGTGCTGAGCTGACAAACGGCTGATCAGCTGTTTGTC